TAATAATCAGTTCTACATGAACGATCTCAAGTTGTACGCCAGAGATAAGAACTAGCTTTCCTCGTTGCTTGAACTTGTTAAGTCCTTTAGCGACTCTATTTATATGGAGTTTGGCATTGATAAACGGGCTGCATTGCACGTGAAAAGAGGGAAAATCCTTGATCCTGACAAACTCATCCTGATATGTGGCACAAATATCCAAGAACTTGGGCAAGAGGATACCTATAAATATTTAGGTCTGCAAAACCTTTTGAGCACAAGTGAATCACTGATGAGGTATGTTATTAAAAGTAAAGTTGTTCAAAGAGTCTCAAAAATCTGTAAAACTCTTTTAAATGGAAAGAACCTCATATCAGCTATCGACACTTGGGCAGTACCTGTCGCTGTTTATTCATTTGGTGTTCTTCACTGGGCAACAACTGCACTGCAGGAGCTTAATCGAAAAGTTAGAGCCACTCTTACCAAGTATCGAATTCACCATTCCAACAGTTCAATGACAAGACTATACTTACCTCGGAACGAAGGACGTAGAGGTCTTCTGGATTGTGAGTACTTGTGTGCGAAGCAAATCAACAATATTTGCAAATACTTCCTTCAGAAAACGACGGTCACGCATGAAGCAATTTGTGCCACGGACAAGAATTTTATCCCACTGAACCTGAATCAAGCGGCCTCTGAAAGGCAATGTATCATGAAAGAAGATAGTCTGAGTGAGTTGACCCAGAAGCGTTTGCACGGCAAGTATCCTGCTGAGCTCAAAGGAAACGCCGTAAATATGGGATCGTCAGTCTTCTGGCTAACAAAATCTGACCTCTTTGCAGAGACAGAAGGGTTCGTCATTTCTATTCAGGACGAAGTAACCTCCACTCGCAATTACCAAAAATATGTAATTGGGGATATGAGTGTAGAGGACCGCTGCCACCTTTGCAATCAGCCCGGCGAAACCCTCCAACACATCATGGACGGGTGTTCTGCTTTGACGCGAACAGAATACCTGAGTCGGCACAACGACGTTGCTGCGGTTGTCCACCAGGCCCTGGCTGCAAAGTTGGAGATGATACAGATAGAGGTCCCATACAACAAGTTCAAACCAGATTCAGTTTTGGAGTCGAAACGGTGGAAGCTCTTTTGGAATGCAGCAGTCACCACTGATCGCAGGGTTGAAGCCAACAGACCTGACATAATATGGATTGACAAGGCTTCACAGAAAGGGATTATAGTCGACATAGCTATCCCTTTAGACCGAAATATAGCTGCCTCTGTTGCCGAGAAGAAGCGTATCAGGCCTTGACTATTGAACTGAGCACCATATGGCGGTTAGTATCTGTTAAAGTAGTCCCTGTGGTCATCTTTGCAAATGGACTGATCTCTGAAGAACTAATTTCATCGTCTGTAAGGCTTGGCCTTAAGAACTGGCACATTCAAACAATGCAAAAGGCTGTTCTTCTGAATACTGCACGCATCGATACGAAATTTTTATTGATATACTTGACCGGCCGAGTTTGCAAGCGAAGCAAACCTTGGTTCTACAAAGTGTCTGCTATAGCCTCGCTAAGCGAGAGACTTGAAAAAGAAATAATAATAATAATAATAATAATAATAATAATAATAATAATAATAATAATAATAATAATACCAATAATATATTTGCCACATAAATGCAGCATATGCCATGTATGACAAATCAGGATATGTATTTAATCATATAATACTGAATACAGATATTCTAAAACTTAAATACGAGACATTAATTAAATTTAAAATTCAATCCTCATATTAAATACAATATCATGGAAAGCTATAATATAAATTAATATTAATTTTATAATGGTAGCGAAAGAAGACTCAGGTTAAAAATCAATTATTATAAAAAAAGAAATTCTTCATAGGTTTGTGCCTAGGTTTGTCTGTCCTTGATATCCAACAGCCAGTTTAGGGGGATTTGAAAAAATGCAACAGAAAAAAAAATTATTAGTACTAGTTTATATTGATGTAGATACATGTTTATGATGCATACATTCTTTTGAACTGTAGAATGTGAGGTTTAACAGGAAAGCTTTCGGTTTATTTTAAATGTGTGTAACGAGCTTAAGCTTTTAAATTTGCTAGGAAGTTTATTATATAGTGTAATGCCTTCTATAAGGGTACTTTTTTGAAAACGTGAAGTTTCACTGTGTAGAACATGCAGATTTTTTTGTTTGTTTAGTATCATAATTATGAACTTCTGTGTTCAGAGTAACAGAATCCTTGTGTCCCATAAGTGCCTTCTTTGTGAAGATTAATATTTCAAATATGTACACGCATGGGAGTGGTAGTATTTGTAATTTTTTGAATAGTTTGGTTTGCAGGACTCATGTTTGTGAGTGTCATTATTCTTGATATTCGTTTTTGGATGATGAAAGTGTGAATGCTTTCTGTGGAATTGCCCCAGAATATTATTCTGTATTTTAGGTGCAAATGAACATTTGCAAAGTACACCATTCACGGTGTATCTAAGTTTGAATTTGACTTCAGGATGTATATGGCATAACATGACTTGGTAAGCTTGTTGTTTAGATTTGTGATATGAAAGTTCCATTTTAGATCATCTTGAATAGTCAATCCAAGGAAAGTTGTTTTTGGGGCTATTTTTACAGGCATGTTTTTTATCATCAATTGTGCTGGAGGCTTTTCTTTAGATAGTGTATTCTAAAAGCTTAGGGAGATAGTTTTACTAGTGTTTATGATGACTTTATTTTCCTCGAATACTTTTACTAGTGCCTCTAGGACTGTTTGTGCTTCTTTTTGTAGAGTTTGTTGGGTATTTGCTTTAATAATAATGTTTGTGTCATCTGCAAATAAGACCATTTTGCTCTTTCGTAGGGTCAGGGGCATGTCATTGATGTATAATAGAAATAGTATGAACCCTAGGATTGATCCTTGTGGCACTTCATAATTTATCATTCTAGGTTGGGAAAAATGAGTAGAAATCTTTTATCTCTAACATGCTTGATTGTGACTACTTGACAACGATTTGAGAGGTAAGATTTAACTCATTGATGTGCAATGCCTCTAATTCCCAAAGTTTCAAGTTTGGATTACAAAATGTGATGGTCAACAATGTCGAATGCCTTTCATAGATCTAGAAACAAACCAATGGGGATTTCTTTCTGATCTAGAGCAACAAGTATGGCATTTAGAAAAGTGGAGATTGCTGTGACTGTAGATCTACCTATTCTGAATCTATGTTGGGCCTCTGTCAATATGATATTAAGAAAATATTTGAGTCTATCATTAACAAGCTTTTCTAGAATTTTTGAGAATCCAGATAGTAAGGATATCGGTCTGTAATTCATAAGATCGTGAGTGTTGCCTTTTTTGCATAGTGGTTTAACTTTTGCTTTTTTGAGAATTTCTGGGAAGATACCTGTCATTAGGGAAGTGGTTACAAACATGAGTGAGCGGTTCTATTATGTTTGTTGCAGTATGTTTAATGAGGGTGTCAGGGATATTATCCAGTCCTGAGAGAATTTGTTTTTCATTAGATTTATGATTTTTTGTATTTTTAAAGTGTATTTACTCATCAACGAAACAAACATAAGCAATGAAATGAGCAAGCCAGTTATCATTACATTTCTAATTCTTCTTGAAACTGTTTCATTAGAGAGTTGAATAATTTTCAATTCTTGAACAAATGAGTCACCAAAAATCATTGACACTATTTATAACACTGCAGGTAAAATCAATGTTTCGGGTACTGTGTGTGGTTTCTTGCATTTAGCAATCTTATGAAACACTTGGTAAGAGGCTAACAGGGCCTTTAAAATAACAATAGTAGTTTTAGCTCAATGGTGCTGGGTACACTACAAGACATTTAGTTTTCTGACAAAACAAATCTTAAGGTTTTTCTGTTAATTCAGGATGTTTTGTTTCAAGATGCCTCTTTAACTTGTTAGGCTTTATCCTATCAGCAGCTAAAATAATTAAACAAATTACACATGGCGGACATTCTTCCCATTTACCGTAGTTCTTGTGAGGCCTAGCAACACAAATTTCTCATCACATCTTTCGTTTTCGCCTTCAAAATGCAACTATCGCATCCTTCAGATAATGGTGTCTTCTTTTCTGTCACTATTCAGGAACCGCTTCATTCTCGTGTCATGTTTGCCTCCCATTTTACGAAAGACTAAGGAGTTGTGTTACACAAGACAAGCTTGTTCTGCGCATGTTACATTAGTTCGCGGAATTAAATACTAATATAAGTAACGAGTTACAATCGCAGAGGGGAGGAGCGGAGCTGAATGATGTTCTGTTGGTCCTGAAGAAAATGAAAAATCGTAATGTTTCCTACTGTGAAATTAAGTTTCCTCCTTTGGTATTTTCCATTAAGCCCCAGACGATTTTATGTTTTCAGGAAAATATGCTGCCCCCTTTCAATGCCTTCGCACCTTTCATTATAAACTGCATGAATTGCGTTGGCTATGCATAATTTGTGGCACCCGTTGGGAGTCAGCATTCAAGCTATTATTTTTTGTGGTAAAAATGAGGATGACACTACAAATAATTTCTTATTTCCCCCTCACTCTTTATTCATTCAGTGAAAAATTCAGTTATTATTGAAAGTGGAAGTAAATAGCAGGTGAAAACACAACACAAATATATCAATTTTCTGTCTTTGAAGGAATATATCCATTTATAATTTATATATCAAATATTGAACTTTAATTACTATAAATTGTAATATATAACCCAAAATAAATACAAATTGTCTTTCCTTTAAATAATTTATTTTTTCTTTTTATATATGCAGAGGTGGGGGGAGATATGCAAGTGTAATATTATTTAAATCAGTTAAGGTTCACCTCTCTAGTGTATTATAAGCAGGGGGGGGGGTAGAGTATTTAAAATATTGCAAATTTGAATTATGTAACTTATTGGAGACCCTTTAGTACACATGTTAATTTTGTTGCTGTTAATTTTTAACAAGAAGGTGAAAGGGTAGTGAAACTCAATAAAAGAATATTATTTTTTATATCTTTATTAGTTTCAAATTCAATCAGCAGGGTGGGAAGTATACAATTTGTACAATGAATGGTAAATTAAGCAAACAGTTCATTATGTTATGGCCAGATATTACATCTTAGTAGACAGCAACAAATATAAGGAGAATTAATGAAAGTGCTGTGTGGCCTCAAATGTACGCTTACACATAGCGTACACACTGATATCTACATTGAACAGCTCAGCACAGATAGTTTGTGATAAATGAATGATAAAGCCATTTCTTTAAGCAATACTTCAAATTTTACACAAGCTTCTACAGGAGATTTTCCAGAATATTTTTTTTCCTCTGGGTGTCGGTTACAGGCCTAAGACGAAGGGCTGCCAGGGCACAGTTACTTCTCCCAACAGCCTTATGGCTTCGTAAGTGACAACAATATCAACACACACATCACTGCCATTCCCATTGCGACATCCCGAGCCCTGCAGACCAGCTACTAAGTGCATGCAGAGGTGCATGTGTGTTCTCTGTGCCGCGCCTGGAAATGGCTGCAAGTTAAAGCAAGCGATACTGCGACAAACTGACCCAGTCTGCCCTTATCACTGGTACTGGCATAAGGTGATATTTCAAGAGCTGTGTTATGGACATGTGTGACTGCTATTAAACATGAGTATTTCAATTGCCAAGACTAGATTCATCAATCAGTGGCACCTCGTGCTGATACACTGGCTGAAACTAGGCTTCTTCTGATCTGAACTCCCACTCTTCAGATTTCACAGAGAATATGAGCATTAATACATACAAAATATTTTTTTGTTAATTGAGTACATTAAATACACATGCAACAATGACCTTATCTACAATTTGGGTGTAAAGTGCAAATCCATCTATGCCATTACCCAAAATTCTTCCAGGCTTCGAATGCTTCACAATGCTAACAATGGTCATTTTCAATATATTCTGTACATGTCACAATACGTTGCAATGCTAGAAAAACTAGAGAAACCGGAGAAAATGGGAGCAATTTTCATGCAACTCACTCAAATGTCCATCAAATAAGTAAGTCCATATCAGTGATTGCATGATAGGCAGCACAGATAAGCCCTACCTCCCCACTTGTTCACAACTTACACTCAAAAGCTTAAGCCAAAAGGGTACTTATGTTTCTTTTCAGTCAATCACATTACTGAGAACACACATTACTTGAAGCATTTGCTTTGGCAATGGAAGGATTGTTTTCAATAAAAGTCACACATGTACAACAGAACAAAATCTTGTATGTCCCCCTATACAATATCTTAGGGCACTACTCTGTACAATTTCAGAAGCCAGTAAGAAGGACACAGAAAAGCTGCAGAGGCGATGGCTGTGGGAAGGGCAATTTCAATCACACCCCAAGCCCAAATCAGCACACGCCGAAGGGAAAATGATAACACTGAACTCAAAAACATACATGCAAGTTTATACAGATATTTATATACTCAATAGTTATGTATATATTTATACTCTCTGTGGGTCCCCACAGGGCTTATTCCCAACGAACTGGCCGAGGGCGCCGTGCATCGCGCGGAGGAGACAGCAGTGACCGCAGGGCTGCAGATGGAGGGCTTATACCTCCAGCTGCAAAATATTTCAATGTCAGCGGTGACTGTAAGTGACGATGTGGAATCACTTCACGCTCTGCAGGTAGTGGCCAAAGCTCCTGTAACAAGATTTCTCAATTATTATACATTCTTCTGTGTTTGTTTTTTTATCTCTAATAAATAAAATATATAATGATTATGCAAAATGTTTAATCAAGAGTTTAAATGTTTTTATTTTGTCACAAAATAATAATAATTTTTTGAAATAACAATTATTTTATGAATTAAAAAGTATCATTAGAAATTTCAAAATTATCAGAAAATATTTTTGAACTTTTGACATCATGTAGACATTGATTTGTTTTCATTAGAAATTTTATTATTAATATTAATTTAATGAATGTAATCGATTGGTTGTCTGAAAATGAGCCTTAGCTGTGATTTATAAATTTTAGAGGAGAACAATTGCAAGCCAAAATATGGATTCCAGTAATTAAAACCAGATAACAACAGTTTCAGCTCTTCCCAATTCACCATCTTGGTTGAGATGTAATAATGCCATGCAAATGTAGTGTATCACACTAAAAACCACAAAGATGTTTCTCTTCATGAAAGAGGTTCTTTATCCAAGAAAAGACAGTTTTTAAAAAATTGTGAGATAGTCCCTCCCACGAGACACCCATTCAATTTTAATAACTCGGAAAATGAAAGATCTCTTGAACAGCAGGGTATTAACATCAATAATAGTAATTGATTCTCTATTACTTTCTTTGATGCCACTGATCAAACATATATCTTTCTAAAATGAGATTAGCTTTTAATGAGAAGATCATTAACTGTAAAGAGCTAAGTAAGCACCAATATCTTTTCCAAAAAAATGAAATAAATTTATTTTCTAATTTCTAATTATTTTAACTTTATTAATGTACTGCTTTTAATTCTACAGTTATTATTCATTATCTTCATGGTTTCAGCCCAGATCTTGGGGTAATTCATATTATAGACGTATGATGACCAGGAAGAATAAGAAAAAAATGTGTATGTAACAACATTATACAAAGTTGTTTCAGGGAACTTTACCATCTTTAGTGGTACAATCAACCTTATTATCTAAAACATAATATTAAATTAACATGATAAAAACATTATTATCTAAAACATGATATTAGATATGTTTTAGATAATAGTGTTGCTTGTACCACTGAAGATGGGGAAAGTTCTCTGAAACTAGTTTGTATAATGTGTTAAATACACATTTTTCTTATTCATTGTGGTCTCATTACCTCTTATCATACATCTGTACTATTCATTGATCATTTTTTTCTAATTATACATTTAATCATATATTCTATTAAATTAAGATTATTTATAATCATGTACATAACTATAGAACAACTAACAATAAAACAACTAACCGGGTAGGTAACCCACTGGTTAACTAGCCCATCCTAACTAATCTATTCACTAATTATCTCATTCAGATCATTCCTCTCAGAGATTTTTTTTTTGTTCCACAACATGAAATTTTCAGCACTTTTCATATTATATTTATTTAATGTTGCAAGGAGATGGAGATTTAAAAAAAATGTTTTAAGAATCAATCTTTAGTTTTAAAATTATATATAGAACAATTTTGCAAGTGACTTCTTTTGAAATACACAGGGAGAATTAAAAACCTGTGAATTTGCTGTGAAAAAGAGTTTAACAATTTTAAGTCACAAACAAAGAAAAAGTTTTAAATGTTTTTCAGCCTAATAATTACACTAACAATATATTTAATCTCAATCTATTTTATTTTGGAGTTCATTCCTTGAAACAATTTGCCAGACATTGAAGCTAGCAAAACTCCAGCAACACAATTGCTAGGCTTATATTGCTTTCAGTTTTTCTGTACTAACAATTCAGTTTTGTTTAGTGCTGTACCTAGAGGATTATATATGATTATATATAATGGCTGCACCTCCTAAGCAGACTGAACATGAAAGAACACCTAAACAATACACGATGTGAGACTTGCATTTGGAAGCATGAACCATAGCATCTACTTTTAGATATATACAACATTTGGAACTCTTCTAAGAGGCCTGGTTGTGTTAACTAACTCACTAGCTAATAAAAGAAAGAAAGGATCAAAAGTTATAATTTTCCAAGCTTATCTTATTTCTAGGGGTATAGAAGGATCAAAACAAGAGTTCAAAAGAGAAGCAAATTTATGGAAAAGTGAAAATCATTTTATCCTAATACACTTGATTTCACATCCTCTCCAGATCTCACCTGCAGGGAGAGGGCCTCGTCTCAGGAGTCTGCGCCTCGTAATCGCCGTCCAGCCAATGCGCCAACCAAGGACTTTAGGGTGGCGCCCAGACCTCGGCCAGGAGTGTGAGAGCCACCAGTACCACCACGCCCTGCACCTTGCGGATGTGCATCCAGACACTTCTGGTACCGGAGCTGTAATAGAAAGTAAACAAACACAAATAATAAATCCAACGAATAAATACTTTCTTATTGCTTAAGAGCCTCTGGAACTACTTTGATGTTACATCCAACATTAAGCTCCTATAACTTCAGCTTAGGGTTATTATGTCAACTATTATATCTGTATTTCATCATTAACAGGGTCTAGTATATCAATAAAACCCCCCTATTTAAGTGACTACCAAAATAAATGCAAAAAATCTTGATAAGCAAAATGGCTCGAATCACACTCTCCTACATGCTTACACACTAAACAAATCAATGCAGTCAGCACAATTTTCTATTAAATATACTGACACTTTCTAAAAGCCTATATACAGGTAAAGATTTATCTGATATATCACAAGAGGAACATTCTGGTTGGTATTCTTACAGAGTAGGATTTACAAGCATACTGTATGATTTTACTCAATGATTAATATTGATTTACATCAATGTATGTAATTTTATTTATTGTCATAGACAATTCAATCTTGGAACATTGAGAGACAAGAAGAAGCTACTAACCAGGGTCCCACCCTATCACTAAAAGAGGAAATAAAAATCACAATGAAGATGGGAAGCAATAGCAATTCTCATGTTGTTACAAGCCAAAATACTATTTTTGTCATTTGAAGTTTCTTAAACATTCAATCTTGGAGATCTGAAAAAGTTGTCAATGGTGCACAAGGAGACCTTGGTTGGCAAGGTTGGACAATGAATTCAAATGTTCTTGATAGAGAAACATATAAATGAATTACTGAATTTTAGTGCATACACACACGCACACCCCCACGCGCACGCATACTGAAACCTGTGGCCTCCAGTTCTTAAGCCTTGGCCACTCCGTGGGGGGTTGGATGAATTCGTGTGTGTGCTTGGTGGGGGGAGGAGGAAGCGAGCACGCGCAAAGCCGCGGCCGCAGGCAACCCGGTCAGCCGGTAGCAGCATGGCCCTTCATGTCGTAACAGTGACGCGCGGAGGGGTAGGCTAGAGCGGCCTGCGGAAGAGAGGTTTCGAACGGGAGAGCACAAGGACATTTTGGAAATTGTGCTGTTAGGAAGTGGTCGTGCGCGTGAAGCGAGGAGCAAGTAAAAATAATCACCCAATATTGCTGCGTTGCAGACGTAAAAACGTCTATATGCATCTATATTGCGTCTTACGTCTATATTGCGTAAAAACGTCTACATGCAAAAGGATGAACGATGTAATACTGCGGTGATTAAAATAACCCCCACATTAATACATTCTTTCATTTACGGCAATTATTTTCTGTATTATTAAGCAAGCAGTTCTATTTGAAAAACAGAAACAAACAAAAACTAATATTTGCCAACGAGCTAGGATATACTAGTATATTCTAGCTCGTTGATATTTGCCTAAAGTGTGAAACTAAGTGGCAACACTGCTGTCTCACAGAAGTTCACAAAGAGTAGAGACGTTGTACATTGTACACACAACACGAGTTTTAATAAATGAACGGAAGGCAAGCCGCATATTCAGACCATGAGTTTATTATTGACTTAACTAATACTACATCGATGCAAAGTGATTTCGTTATTCTCCGTAAGTTGTTAAGGCATCCGTCGTGATGGTGAAAGCAACGTTATTTCTACCCAAACCTATATTTGGTTCTTTATACTGCATTTGCCTCGTCTAGGCATAGTTTTGTTTTACAGATTATTTCGCAAAGAAAAGAAACGGTAGCCAAAGCACTGCCGCGCCCTGATTTTCGGGCTTCTGGACACCGCGCCGCCGGCCGTGGCCACGTCGCCTTCGCGTGTACTGTGATTTATCCAACTCTGCCCCTAGCAGGTATCAATTGATGACGGTTTCAATCAATTGGGAGCTTGAATGTCACCATACTGACGTCAACGCAGTATCAAGGCCCATTCACAATGCAAACATAAACATACGCATGGCGTTAACATAAAAGTTAGGACTACCACCTTAAGAGGGGTCCTTCACAACGCGATCGCATAAGCATAACACGGAAGACATTAACTTAAAAGTTTTCAAGCTTCAAACTTTTGTGCTTATGCTTAAGTAAGATATAAGAAATGAGCCAATCACAGTACGTTAACTCAACATTGTGTATCGAAAAAAGGATCGAAGTCGATTGACGAATGTATCATGGACACAGTCAATACCTCGAAAGCGATTCTCCTCGACATCCAACCAATAGTAAACTAGAATGTCTCACAGCCAATAAAAACTCTTTATTTTGCTTACGTTTATATGGGACATTGTGAATACTTCAGTCTACTACTTATGTCAAGGTTTACGTCTATGCGTTATGCCTATGTTTACATTTGCATTGTGAATGGGATTTCAGCGCTGTCATCGGAGCCGATGGTTGTGGCTGACGCCGTCCCCCTTCCCGTCGCAGGCCTCGCGCCGCACACTGGGGCCAGAGAGGGGAGAAGTTGGCAAAAAGTATTTTTAAGCGTTTTTCGGGATTTTAGGAAATAAAAAAAAAAACACTTTTTATAATTAAATAATGACTTATTCAGTTGTTTAACCTTCAAATATTTAATTATATAACCTTAGAATCAGAACTTTCATCATGTGATTCTTCTTCCAGAAGTGAATTTCTACTTGAAGGCATTAACATTGTTGTAACTCCTAGGTCAAATGCCGTTGTTGCAATTTTTCTTTACTCCATTTCTGAAATTAGTGCTTTTAGATGCAATTAACATCCCATAGTGTTAGATGCAATTAACACCTTGCGATGCTCTTCCTTGTTAGTTTGCTCTCTGGATATTTTTCTGGTGAAACTTTCTATTTTTTCTCCCTCCCTTTTTGATGCGTTAAATAACATCACACAGATCGATCCTTGTTAATAAAATCACTGAACAACTACTACTAATCATGGATACTACTTTAACATCAAATACTATGCAGAAGGAAAGGAAAGATGTATGTGTATTATTTGGCAGGACAGCGCCCCTTGAACCTTCCTACCGCAACCGCCACTGGCACTGGGATATACATTTAAGCATCAATTTAGATTTAGATCTACTTAGTCAAAAAACAGTAAAAACTGGGTGTGACGTATGGGGGAGAAGATTATCTAACAAGGCTAGAGCTCACTCGTCCTTTTCCATCAGGGTTCGAGGACAGCAAAATCGCCAGGAAACTCTTTCGCTCTATTCAAAATCGCCAGGAAATGTCATTGTACCGAATAACCATAGCGTAAAGACTGCCGCAAGCTTATAAGGAAACGCCGACGCTGTTTCAGAAGTATGCACAAGCAGCATGATTACACCCTGGGGGCAAATTGGGATTGCGGATCAGAAGCCCCTTTTTTCGACGTGCCCGATACGACTGTGCATACCGCAGGCGAGAGAGTGTTCCCGTAGAACTTCGGGGGCAGGGAAGCAACGCTGCACGCGGCCATATGCGGTCGGGGGCAAGTTGCCCCCATACGTAGTATTCAAAAGGAAAAATATGCCGAAGAAGTAGTCCCCCCCCCGCGATAATAGTGCGTGCAAAATGCATAAATGGATGAAAACCTCATCTTGGACTGGATGAAGCATGTGTGATTGCAGCGGCCTGATGCGCAACTGAAATAATTGTTTATTATTTACAAAAGAAAATAATATATTACTTTGCAAAGAAAAATTAACACAGAAATAAAAAAAACAATTGAATTGTGTAAATTGGATGCTTTTTTTATTTCTGTATTAATTTTTCTTTGTGAACAAATATATTAATTTATTTTGGAAATAATAAACAATTTACATGTTTCTGGTGTGTTTAGTTACTACGTGTTTCTGAAATGCCAAGTTTTGCATATGAAATACATTTTCAAACAATTTTTGAGTGCTTATTGCGACCCCGTCATTCGGAATATCCAAGAAATTTATTGGACAACACATGCTTTAAATTGTCTTAAAAGCTTATTTTCAAAGTTTCGACATTTAACACAGCTCCTGTTGATGAAAATCATTAATTTTACCTTGCAGGCAGCTTCTACAGTCTTGCATAGGGCTCCTGAAGATGGCTCGCAGTGGAAGATGTGCGCCACAAACTGATCCTGTGCTGTGTGGACAATAAAACCACACTGTTTGACATTGCGTCCAATGCCAAGGAAGGAAAGGTATCGAACTCGACATTCTGCTAATAAGTGGCCCTCCTCCTGCATTTCAAATAAAAAGAAATCAGTCAATTATTCTTTCACATGTCAATAGGAAATTGCATATACTATCATCAGTTTCTTATATTCCAAATTCAACTGTATCCACTGAGTGTCCCAGAATGAATGTTATAAACTTCTAGGACAGACAGAAGGGTTGAAGATACATTTTTGCCAACAAACATGTGGTGTGAAATTTCATGAGATGAAGTTACACGTGATATTTGTCCCTGATTTGCAGGAACTCTTCATGCTTTGCTCAGAAAGGAAGCGGGAAAAAAGAAAGAGAATGTGGTCTCTAAGTATAAGGTGTTGAGAGAACCATTCACTTTGTTACTCGTTGCTTCATTTTTGTTATACTTAAGATTAGAGCATTAAAATCTTCACCCTTCAAATTAGGTACCAATTTAACAATGATTTTGGTAATATGGACAATTTTTACAACAGTTAATAAGTAAAATTATTTTTAGAACAAATGCAAGCATCCATTTAGCCCAATTGAAAACTTACAACATTCATAATGTAGGTAGAACGATTTACACTCATGACAGTTGGAACTTTGAGCCAATTTAACACTGTTAAATTTTGCTAAATAAGATTATAAGTGAAGAATACATTTATTATTACAAAAAGTATTCATACTTCTTTAAATCAATTTACAATTTACATATGTATGAATGAAAAATAGTAGCTATTAAAAATAGTTTCATATTTAAATTGTAATCTATACACTTGCTTACCCCAGGTTGACAAATAGAAATCATGGATGGAGCCACAGCAACACTGACAGGTCTCCACTGTTCTTGTGGGACAGTGGCCAACATTTTGTCAATGGCATCGTTGAGGATATCAACACCTTTTGCTCGTGTTACTTGAGTACTACCCAGGTACTGTGCACGTAAAACCTTCTTTGGTTCTTCCATTGGTGTGGGGAATGACTGTGCTGTAAACCAAGATGGCTGATTTAAAACTGATTCCATCTGGCAACTGTGTTGCAATATTGTATACCCAATAAACCTCATTAAATAAAGACGTCAATGTATTTGTCAATAACTAAAGATATTGACAATATAAGTACAGTACTAAAATTAATCTCGTAAAGTTACCAGTGTGAAAAGCGTTTCGGCACTAAGGAGAAAGGCAACAATAATTATACGAAACATAATATTTTTTACCGAGTAAGAAGGATCTACCATTTCTTTTTGATTTCAGTAAGTTACTTACTGACAAGTGCTTGTCCATTACGGTGATGGAAGCGTCGATGCTCTGTAGGGAGATTTGTAGGACGAGCAGCAAGACCTGCACGACCACCTCCAACTCCTCCTGTTGCAGCACCAAAAAGAAACTCATTAAATAGACCTTTCAGCAACTAACTGTTAATCAAATACTGGATTCAACAGCAAATCTAATTAGTATTTTGATTACATCTGTTTAGAAAGTGCAATTCTTACAAATGGAAAAAAAAAGAAATCCAGTATATATAAAAAGGTAAGAATGACTTTTAATTTGTAATGTTCCTACAATTTTGACTTTACCTAGAAAACACCCACAAATTATTATCATTAGTACTATCTGAAATGAAAGCATTTGAGAATCCTGAATAGTGTGGCTAAGAAATTACATTATATTTTCTAGTGTAGGTGTTGATTAAAAGCTCAACGTATTGAAATTGACTTGATGAGCAGAACTCATAATAAAAAAGGCTTCTATGCTTCTAAGCAATGGCAGTTGAAATACATATATTATACACATGAGCTTGTGGTTTGAAATTATTGGCAAATGCCTTTACCACATTTTAGGTGGAAATAAGCAGGACTTGAACAATATCCTTGCGAAGATTAAGAGGGACCACTTACACTTCAGAAAAATACAAAAAAGGTACTTTTGGTAAATAATAAAATGAAGTGGTTCTGATTGCAATTGCATGATATGCCATATCTTATGAAATTCATGTTAACTAAAATTATTTCTTGTGACATTTCCCAAATGCCTAAATGGAAGTTTATTTTTAATTGCGGCATTTTACACAGTATTTTTGTGGCAATAATACCACATACTAGTATATGAGTTGTTTGGAGATTCATTTTGTAAATCTCTTTTCTAAAATTTTCATAGAAGAAATCACAAACTTTTTTACTTTTATATGTACATATATACGAAGTAATATACGTAATATAGGGAAAGTTATGTAATGCAGAGGAGAATCGATTTCGACATTTCAACGGAATACAAGTTTTGGGGTACCCTGATACCGAAAAGTGTTTTTCTTTTTTAATTTTTATTTTTCAAAACGTCCGTCCGGCTGTATTTCCGCCCGTCCGTTTGGTGTCTGTGAACAATACTAGGGCCTAAACCATGTGATTTTGTTCCAAATTGAAGAAACTCCTGTTCATCTGGCTTGAGAGATTTCACACATTGTGATTTTGAAAAACATTCTTTAAAATTTGGAAGTACTTATCATAAAGCCCTCCGGACATTTTCAACATTTTCTCAAAAACAGCTCCAATTTTTTTTTTTTTTTCTTGTACGAATGGGGTAACATACACTTATAAAATTGGCATATGATATTGGATAATGGTCCGATTTTCAAGGTTAACTCTGAATTTTCGAAAATTCCAAAAGAATGACTTTTATATCTTTTAATGATTTATACGCAATTATAATAGCACGCATTTTATACTTATTTGTCCTTCTCCAGACTATCCAGTCTCATCTGGTGACCCGAGGCTTGGTTGGTAGCGCACTCACCAATGTCGACGGGCTTGGCGAGATTCTGCTGCAGGCTGCGTTCGATCATGATCTTCTTGCAGATGTCACGCAGCGTGTTGGCGATCGTACGCGCCGGGATGTCGCAGCGGAACACGTGGCACATGTGTTTGCGGGTGCTGCGGTCGCGTGCCACGTACGCGAAGTCCCTGCGCAAGCCGCACGACAGCGTTAGCGCACGGGGTTTAATGCCCTGCTCTGATTTTGTACAAGAACCCACCTCGCGATTCAGACCTGTGATTAGTACACGTCGCGATGTTTCTAACTGATAAAGGTTACTAATTTTCATTCAAAAATTGGAAAAACATAACTTATTATTTCCTCTACCTTTTAACCTCAAGATTCTTGCCTCACGTTTTTCGCAGTTTCCCTTTAAGCTAATTTCGAGACCCACGTTCCTAGGTAAACGATCAGAGGGGCGCTCTCCACCCTTTGTTGCTCTCTCGTATGACAGGTACCTCTTATTGTATACGAGTATCCGTAGTTTCATTTCCAAGCAGACTGTTACGAATTAATTATAAAGGCGACTTTTGAGGAATAATAGTAATAATAATAATAATTTTTAATTCTCATGTTATTTTAGAGTGAAAGTCCTTTAGAAAAGTTTGAATTGGCATTAGTAGCGCCGAGAGAGATTGACGTTACTTCATTTTACCTTCATAATCAATTAGCTAGTTTATTGCCATTGAATGCTCACTGATGCAATTCAACGGGTATTTTCCTAATCAGCTAGATTTAATACGTGACTTATTACAATAAATTAACCAAAACTACACAAAACACAGAGAAACATTCCCAATATAGAGGCCCTAGTTCTCATGATCTGAGGGTTTCTTATTACCTTGCAGGAGGCCATGGTCCTTCCTCAATAGCTATGCTATTTGATGTTGACGGTTCATACTTTTCATTTCATGGTGCCTATTGATACTTAATCTAACAATTCTACATTTGTTCGAATTAAATTGGGCTTGCACTTTCTTCACAGTAAAAAAAACAAAAAGCAACAACAAACTTTAAAAACGTATCGTGCTTTGTCCATGCATTGATCACAATTATAATAGCATGCAGTGCAAAAAAATATTCTCTCCGCCCCCTTCAAAACAAATTACTTCATAAATAAAGATTAAGAGTTAGATAAGCGATGTGCGCGGAGGAACGGCTAAAAGGAAATATTTATGTCGATTCACCATAGAACATTGAAGTGGCTTGCCACATCAGTCTTCCACAAAGTTACAGCTTTGGGAGAAATAAAATATGTTTTCCTCTTAAAATAAAATTATTTAAAGAAAATATAAAACCGTTACCTTACATTTGTTCGATTATATACCAATTTCTCCCTGGTTTCGAAATCAAATACCTGTACGTGGGAAGCTACAGAAGACAGGAGAAAAATAATGAACTAAATTGGAAAACGAATATCACTAAACTAATTAATCTTATTGATAATGTGTGGTATTTATTTCCCCAATTACTATTTGTTTTGATTTAAAATAATGGATATTACACTACATCAAACCATCACGTAGCAAATTTTCCACTTCCCCTTTGGAATTATGTTGTACTTGAATATAAGTAAATCGGAGAATGTCGTAATTTCTCCAAGTTGCACAATTTTGAGAGATGAAATATTTGAGTTTATCGGCGAGCGTTCAACAAAAAATATTTCATCCGGTGCATAGAAGTACGTGATGGCGGAAATGTTTATGTACGCAACTCTGCATATCGCCAATATACATAAAATATGCACCATCTTGCACTCTGAAATCATCGTACAACAAACCTACGAGGATGAATCATTACGTAGGCTCGCTGTTTTACTAACGATTTTATGCATACACACACTTCAGGTTATATTTATAAAATTGTTTCTAAAAATCATTTCAAAACAAAAAAAATCATTTCTGCTTTTCTACTTCTATTTTGGACGGATTCTTCAAAAGATATTTTCTGCAAAGAATCCTTCACTATTATGAATGTTCACTAGCCAATGTAATTGCACAGCAAACTTCTTTCATTCTTTTCATTTTCTAATTGTTTTTCATGTTTGCCTTAGTGCCACAGTGGCTTAGAGCAGTGCCCAAGAACTCGAAGTCAAAGACTGACGGCTTGAATGCTTTAGTGTCTTCAATATGTTGTGGAATGTTTGACTGCTCATACCACCATGCACCCCTAATATAATTATGAATTGGATCATATTATGAATCATCCAATTCGTAATTATGCAACTCATTACCATTCACTGGAGACGACCCGTGCCGGTCAGAGAGCTCGCCTCACCACTGTGTACTGGAGTTCCGAACCCGGCCCATTCGTATGAAGTATGAGGTAGGCAAAATAGATTCGCTTTTTCATTCCACCATCCCTGCATAATCATTCAAATCAGCTGATAATCATTAATCCAATAAAATATATATGTTCACTCCTTGTACCATTCTGGAGCTTAGTTATATTGCTGGCATCGTAATATCACCCTACCATGCTGTAAGGCAATGGCAAACGACCACAGTGCTAATATTTTCAAGAAAGGAGAAGGAATAATGGCGTCACTTCAACAGCAGCCAAGTATGGCACTACTCGACGTCGTCATCGTCGTCATCGTCGTCATCATCATCAACGCTGTTTTTCGTGAAGCAATGGATTTAGAAATTAAAAGAAATAGTTTCGTGCATTTTTACACCGCTACGTTTGGTTTTATTATGCCCAAAGAAAATGTTACTTTTTATTTTACCAATATGAACTCACGGTGCCCCTGCGTTTACACGGCAAATACAACGCAAGTGCTTACATTAAAACTTATAAAATAGCCCAAATCACAACAGAATGTGGTTGGAAAGATAAAAGGATAAATTCGGGAAATCCTAATCTTGGGAATAAGTTTGTTTTATTCGAAGAAAATATAAAGGCATGTTACCTTACAATACATTTGTTCGAATACACACCAATTTCTCCCAGGTTTCGACATCGAATAGCTGTACATGGGAAGTTTTAAAAATAATAAGTAAAGTTGAAACAAAGATGGCAGTAAAATCAATAATGTCACTGATAATTTGTGACGTTTATTTCTCCAATTACTGTTTCGTTTAAAACGATTGATGTTACTTTATATCAAGCCAACAAAATTATTTTGTTTATTTGAAATACGTTTATTTAAAACAACATATTTACCTACATTTCATATTTCGGCTTCAGGACCATCGAGATGTTTTTACAGAACTTTTGAATTCCAAGATACACTATTTTTATGGATTAATTTCTTACGCAATGTATGGACCGTATCCATTGCAGCATGCTTTAAGAATTCCTTTCGAGAAAAACTACTCTGACTTCCAACTAAGTTCTGTGTACATTTGCTTCATTTCTAATTTGCTTGTAACCTATAAGAGGTCAGACCAACGCTAATAAGGCGGTGACAAATTCTGTCCGAAAGGACGCTTCAATAAATCCCAATGAAAACACTTGACAGCGTTAGCAGTATGAGGGTCCTAAAGTTAAAATCTGTAAATACACTGTAACGAATTTACGTATTACTTTTTAATGCAAATTACATTAAAGTAATTATCATGAACGCAAATAAAATTTAATGCACACATGTACGTTACGATGCAAGAGTCAAAGCTTAATGGCCATACCTGGAAGGAAGGAATGACCTTGATGGATTATGAATATACGATATGCAATATGAGAGGTAGGGGAAACGGGAGAATCTATACATTAAATCTACTACGATTTTAACTTATGCATTAAATTTAATATACAAATATATTAAGCATTTTTATGTATACAAGGTTCCATTAAGCTGCATGAACAATAAACGAATTTACATTAAATTTAATGACATTTCTGACAGTGTAGATGAAGCCTCTTCTAAAAATTGTCTCCGTGCCTGTCATTTGAGATAGCCCCTTCGCTCTTTAAAAAATCTAAATCAAGAAGATCCCTTACATCCCAGGGTCATGGTGCTGGCCTAGAGCTCGCCGTCTTTCATATTTTAATATCATGGTGATGTCACAAACTTTCATTCCATTGGGTTCCAAACGGTGACAAGTTGAGAAATCGCGCATCCCAACCGCATCGCCATTCTTGTTGGTTTCCAGAGGAGTTTTCTGTAGAACTACAGATGTTAAAATAAAGGACTATTAACTTTGTAATGATAAGTAAAGAATTTTGGTACTCAACATGCAACGACTGAGCTATTTCTGAAAGATATGAATATCGCAGCATGAAAATATATTCCCAGGAATGTTTTATCAATCGTGCGTTATAATATAGAAAGCCCCATTCGTATTTTGTCACAAATAACATAAAACATTTAATTAAAATTACTGAAAAACGAATAAAATAGAATCAAAAAATTGCGAAAATAATTGGCGAAAGCAAAGTTGATTGGAAAATGACCTGGCATTTTGACACAATAGTTTGAAGGCACGTTTCCTGGGGAGAAATGAATATTGCAATTGATGCAATTGAAAATAAAATATGATTTCAGTTAAGGCCTCGCTCACACGTATTATTAGCAATGATTCGAACCAAGTTACCAACCACCGGCAGCGGCGAGGGAAAGGGCAACGCCCCTCTTAGGGCTCGAGCGGCCCGAGCGCGCCACTGACTGGGAGAGCACGGGTTGCACTGACTGATTAGCGGTTACCGGCGCGTCAGCAGCCAAGATCATTAGTCCCGTGCACGTTTTTGCCTTCGGAGGGTGGCAGCGATCTTCCTCCGCTGAACGGTGAGATCCAGTCGGCTACTGGGGTTTTACCCAACCAGGTATCTCCCACCAGCAGGGCACCGCTCCAGCCGAGACAAGCTGTAAGCGTCTCCCGGCATGTGTTTGTGTCGTGCATGTAAGTGTAAGTGTGTAGAAGTAAGGAGAGAGGATAAGACAATGAACGGGAGGGAACGATTGCACACGGTCCGTGGCTAGTTTGTTAGGATACTGCACCGACGTTCGCCGGGTGTTGTTAGGAGAAATCACGGATAATTGCTGATCATAGCAGTCGACTGCTAAAATTGTCTTCCAGTCAGCGGCTAATTTCGACCTAGCTACATCGCTAGTGTGGTAAATCTTGCTACCGTCGGTTCTCGAACCTTAGGATCTCCCGGTCAGATGACGTCAGTTGATACACTGCAGTGACATCAGTTGATGCCCTGCTAATACGCATTCCAGCGGATCGTTTCATTAGTCATTACCTACCCTATCCTGTCATTAACCACCGTTCCCTTAAGGATCCACGGATCACAGCGGCGTCTAGGCGATAACCAAGGACTGGCTGGGAAGGGCTGCGGCTACATCAAAGGGCTATCGACAGGTAGGGCCCCGACCTGGAGAACTAGAGAGAGGGGAAATGGTGAGGGACGCCCCTCCTCAAGACCCTAGATACGGATAGCAGAGCGGATGTAATGCCAGGCGGCGCGAGGGGCACTGTTTGAAGCTGGCCCCCGAGGGAAAAAACAGATGATTTCAGTTAAATACCATAATGTTTTGATACACATAAATAATTGTAACATTCAAGAAGAAAAACAAATTCACTAAAAATCTCGTAAGTTGTGCGAATAAATCGATTTAATATTCACACCGTTTTGGGGCAAGAAATCTGTCTCGTTAGTTCACATTTTCAGCGATTTCTGAGATTAATTTTGAAGGGAATATATGTTACGTCTTATCACGTTAAAATATATTTAATTGCAAACACACTTCACCAGTAGATCAGTATTCATTTTCAATATTTACTGACAATTAATTTGAGGTGTAATTTTCCAAACCAGCAATAATGTTCTCGAAAACTGAACTTACTCGTTTTTTTACCACAAAAATAAAGCCAACAGAACAATCCGTTAAGTAGTTTACTCAATGCATGC